CGAAGGTGGCAGGACAGTTCCGACTGGCAAAAGCACTTGATGGAAGAGGAGCTGCCTCAGCTTTCACCCATGATTCAGATCTGTTTACATTTTGTGAATCTCAGGAAAGGGGGGATGAAAAGCTCTGGTTCAGTTGAAGGCATGTTGTTAACCTCAGTGCTAATAATTAACTCAATTATGCTGAATTAATTTGATGTAATTATTGGTGATGGCGCAAAGACAGCGGCCTAGAGAAAGTTTGAGAGACAGGAGGAACAGAAGTCTGAACAATACAAAATACCCCCTAAATAGCATCTTTTTTTTTGCCAGCATGAGTCAAAGACACAGAATGAGTTCATTACAGTCATCTGGCTTCACACAACCCACCAAATTACCCCCACACCCAGACAAATAGCTGTGAAATCCAGCAAGTGAACTAGAATTAAAACATGCCCTGACGGATTTGACACAGCACTCAGCACAAGTGTCTTTCCCCATCCTATTATCTAAACAATACAGATTTAATAATATATTTAAGAGCTCCACAATGCTTCTCCTTTAACTGAAGACATTAATTAAGAACATTTTCTTGTTGTGGTGTTGTCAGTTGGGTGGGTTTCTGATGAACAAGCTGCAGAGCACTTATGGAGGCTTTTCATTTGATCTGCATTTTTTATCCAGTATTTTCAGACTTATTCAGTTCAAAACAAACAAATCCCATCTATAAAAACAAACACCTATCTTTCTCCTTCCCCATTTAATACTTCTGTGATTTGCTTTGAAGTGGTGTAACAAATGAATTCCTTGCTATGAAAACACACATTTTACTGAGGTATTTTTAATTCTCATGCACTAAATAAAGTCACTGGAGGAAGGAATCAGTTGTGATTGTCTTAAGTCTTAGGGAGTGGATTAAACTGAAAGAGTAAGTTCTATGTAAATTAACGCCTTAAGTATCACCAGAGTTGCTACAGGACACTCCCAGCTCCTCCCTCCACTCCTGGAGGAAGCACACCAAGAGTCTTACACTCCCATTTACAATAAATCTTCCATTACCTTGTTTCCATCAAGCTTCATCATGTACATGGATTTAGCACCATGGGTTGTTACTTTCCTGTTGTACAGAAATCAAAACTTAAGAGTTCAGATTACAGCATCACTATATTTAATATTTTACAGTCCTGGAGGACTGATAGCATCTAGCCCTGAAGGGCTGGGTGCCTTTGCCTGTCTAGCTTCAGTCTGAGATGCTACTTGACTTACATTTGTCATAATGCTGTAAATACACAAGCTTCTGAGCTTCCACTGCATTTGTCATCATCCTTGTGACAAGAATAAAAATATTACTTCTAACATCACCCATTCCCTGAGAGCAGAGACGTGTAGCTGTGAGAAAAGCTGTAAGAAATGAACCGTCTTTCTCTAATTTGCTAAGTAGGTGCTGCTGCCATGCCCACAGCTCACATCCGCATGAGTTCTGATGACTCTCAAATGCAGCTGATCTTTCAGAACTCATTTTAATTGCCATCAGGCTCTGAACAGACTCATTATTTCAAAGCAGGCCATATTACATGTATAATTTATGCATTTGATTTCAATAGATCTTTTTCTGCCCAGTTCAGAGAGGGCAAAAAGTGTTTTCCATAGGGAAGCTGGTAACGTTTCCTAAAGAACCAAACTGACTTTCCTCAAGAACAACTTGTTTAAAACACGATTTGTGAAGAGACACATTTTGAAGTTAATTTAGTGTGATGGATTGTCTGAAGTCTCCTACATTTATTTGGACAGCTACTGCAAGTTTTCTCTATGCATATTTACCAGAAACTAGCTTTAGTTTATGGAGCTGACAGTTACTGCTGGAAGTAGTTAGAAGAAATAAACTGAAATGGTAAATATTGCCATAGATGAATTTATGTCCAACATAAGGATCTGCAGTACTGGTATTGTATCCGTACTGGGACTCCATTTGGAGGAAGTTGCTCCAGGCAATGCCACTGAGGCAATGCTCCAGTCTCTAGTCCAAATTCTTGCCTTGTGTAAATCAGCACATTTCTATTGCACCACAGAAACTTGTTTTCCAGCAACCTGGATGGCTGAATAAAGCTATATGGGGTTTCAGACAATTCCTGCAAGTGACTGGGCTAAGCTGACATCCAAATTAACAAAGACTAGGCATTAATTCTTTTCTCAATCAAAGTAATTCCACTCAGGAAGCAATCCACCTGAAGGGGAGATGACCACAAAGGAGAGGGCAGCGGCATGTCCTGCCACAAGCTTGAAGGAAGCCCAGCTAGTCACATTTTAGCCAGCACCAAAGGAACAAGAGGAGATGCATGCGGTCTCTAAAACCACTTCACACCAACCCGACAATGCGAAGGGTGTCTGCGTAAATGAGGAGTTCATCAGCTGCTTCCTGCCACCAGCCCACGCCTCCATCCAGAGCTCCCTCTTTCACACCCCAGCTCTGCTTTTCACTTCTGTCGTCACAGACTTGATTTTCCCTTTCATGGATTTTTGCTGGAAAAAGCATCACTGCCTCAATTGTCTATTTTCAGCCTATATTTAAGAAAACCCTTTAGTTCCATTTGTAGCCACATCCTGTCTCAGCCTCCCCCTCTTTTTGTTCCTAAATATAAGGCTGATGCCATTTGATGTGACATGACAAAATAGCACATTTGCATTGGCAGAAACTTTCTCTCAACAGCAGTAATTAAAGGGAGTAGATGAGACATTGCTGAAATTGGTGTTTATTTAGCCTGAAAATAAAAGGCTTGAAGAGGACTTGAGAAAGATGTTCAAGTGTCACAAACCTGAAATTCATCGATGTGTACCTTTCTTTTACATGCTCCTTGCTGCAAAGCAAATGGTTGTTCAAACAATGCAATCGATTTAAAGAGATTAAAAAACCCCAGATATTTCTGCAGACCATATTCCTAACCAGCGAAAATCATTTAATGTGTTTCTTTGGATTATAAATAGTACCAAGACACTTGTGGTTACACAAAAGACAAGGTCATTCAATCTCTAACTTCAGAGTGCAGACTCCCAAATTGAGGAGCAGAGAACTGAGATCTCATTGACTACAGTGAAAATGAGGTGCTTAAGTATCTTCATTATTAGCTGAGCAGCAGCAAATAGCACTCACCTTCGCCTACAGCATGGGGTTTTGTTAATTGTGGGATGCAGGAACTCGGAAATGGCCCAGGGCTCTGAGTGCAACAGGATTCATACAGCAGATAAAACCCCACAGATCTACAAAACTTACGAAACAGTTTACTGTGTTTGGCTTTGCTGAATGTCCACTCTGCAGATACTTCACAGGATCAGACACTGTCAGCTTCCTGCACTGTATCCCATGATGGATGACAGCAGTGGAAGGCAGTGGTGGGAGGGAGAGCAATGTTTGGAAGTTGAGGGTGTTTTCTGGAGTTTTAGAAAGTAAGTTTAGTTTACTTAATCTGTGTGAAGCACCCACAGAGAAGTCTGATGAATGTTCCATAGGCCACAGGATTTAACACACATATGCTTTCAAGTGATACTTCCTGCTCTCAGAAGAATCTTCCTCCTCTTCTTGTTCACGAGGCTACTCTTTCAAATCCATCTGTGATTGGCACTACCACTCTGCTTAAAGCTGGCAGACCACATTCTGAGCAGGCTCATTTCCATCCTCACACAGATGGCATCAAGAATTGGGCAGGCCAGAAAAAAATCAGTTTGCATATTATGCCTCAGTTTTTTATGGGTCAGATTACCATTGAAAGCCATCAAAATGGCAACCCATATGTGATGTGTCTGCCATTGGAACCGAAGTGATACACCATCATAATCTTAACACGGCTGGTTAGAAAAAGTTTCATTAAACATTAATCAACCTCTGATAATTAAAAGTAAAAAGATATTTTTCTTTTGAACCAAATTTTGACTTTGACAAATCAAACAAAATAGCTCTGGTGAACCAAAAAGGGAAAGACATTATCACATCTTCATCCCTGAACAACTGCACAGGCAAGGCTCTCTTGGCAGAAGGTACTTTAGCTTCTATGCCAAAGACTCACTTGGTGAGTGAGCCAGGTGCAGATGTTGGCTGTGTAATCTCCTCTAACTTCTTTGTTCTACAAGCCAGAAAACTCTTCCCACAGCTTTGGGGGAAAAATGGAGGTATGAAGAGCTTTTTGTGTGTTTTCATTACTGCAAGGATATCAACTGTTTTAAAGACACTCCCATAGAAATAAGAAATGTGTTGTTAGCAATACACATAACTATTAATCATAGATTCAGCGGAGCATGGTGTCCTATGGATACTAAAGGGATGCTGAAACAAGGTAACACGCCTGGCATTCTGTTCCTGCCTCCTGCAGTAGCCTACCAGATACAATTGCTGGAATCCATGATCCACAGGGGGTATAATTCCAGATGCTCCAGCATCCATACTCCTATATTCACAGGGTTTAAAGCATGCAAGTCTACTCTTGTGAGAAATCAACCAAACATTAAAGACGCATTCTAAGCCTCTTGCTATGTTATCATGGCACCTGAAATTCAAACAACTGTTATGCTAAATAACAGCCAAGGCTACCACCCTTTGTCATTAGCAACGGGAAAATGTTTCCTTCCACATTTTATGGCCCCTCCGACTCCTCTACGTGATACCCTGGTTAAGATACTATACTGACACTTCAGGTGTTCATTCTCAACCAAATACAATACACACAGCAAGAGCAGATTCCCTCCACCATGCTGACATTCCTAATCTAGCTGCTGTCCTGACAGAAGTATGAAAATGTTGTTTCCTCTGGTATCTTTACTGGCAATTTGCAATTAGGTTTCTGCTACGGCATTTATCAGCATGGCTGGAACAGAGGGGTGTTCCTGAATACAAAGTGCTGGTTAGAAATCTCTCCTGCAAACACGGACATCATACAACACTTTTTTGGGATGGGGGGGCATTTTCACCTTTTTTCCCTGTGTGAGGCAAATGGGCTCCTAATGATTTTCATAGAAACAAACAAGAAATCACTTACAGCATTTGGAGCAAAGGAACTTCAATTATCTTCACAGATTACGTCTGTCCAAGTCCAACAGTAAGCAAGAGACCTGCAGAGAAGAATCAATTTTCATTATCTGTTTCTCCTCAACTCACTACTTAAAGTACCATCAATAAAGAAGTGCAGAGAAGCCCATCTAGAGCACAATTCATCAGTCTGTAAACCTGCACTTTTGTCTAACTGGTTATATTAAACTTGAATTCATGGCCTTGATATGAACAGGTCACTGCTTTTAGTAATCTACTCAGCAAAAACATTAATAACTACACTATAAGAAGATACAAGTAGAGAGATATTCCAAAGCACTCAGTGGAACTGAACCTTCAGTGTTTCCTGTCCTGAGTTCCTGAAGATAATGAAGCATTTAAGGAGACCAGCAGTTTCTAGTGTTTAGAGCTCTGTGCAATGACAAATTCAAAGATTTATGTGTCTGTCAGAGCAGAACACTGCTTTGGAAAAAGCGTTTATTGACATCAGGGCATCTAGTACCTCAGTAGAATTAAGAAGTCATAGGCCTGGATGGTTATGTGGCTTTCCATTCCCACTGCCACAGTGGTGCAATCTCATCCCAAAATGCTCCACATGAGAAACTCCTGCTTTTTCAAATGCTCAGTTGTACAGTGAGTGAAGGAATAGTCATTTGCAACACAGGTGAACTTCCCATAGGAGGTGATGTAAAACAAGGACCTAGAAGAACAGATTCAACTTTAACTATAGGCCAGTCCTGCATCTCCTGAACTTTTCAAGCGCTGGTACAAGAACTGCACACCAGAAGCTGCATGACATTATTTTCATCCATGATATGAATATTCTGTATAGCAGATAGGACCTCCAATACCTGCCTTGGATCACTCCTCCAGAAAACACCTATTATTTAGCATTGTTAATTAAAATTTCGTAGATGTACCTGCAGTTAGTTATGCCATTACAATGTCCTTTCAGAGGTACTTTGTGCTTTGCTGTTAACACATAGCCAGTATAATAGCCAAAGAGCAATGCAATTAACTTCTCCATAGGCTGAAATTCAAACCAGCAATTACTTCTGTAATTCACTTATCAAAGCATCAGGCACCTTTGCTCAGAAAGCTTTCCAAACCTACTCAAAATACACCCAGCTGAGTTTTGAGAACACAATAAAACAGTATCACTGCTATACATCATTGTTTAGTGATAAATACTGCCTAAGGCCTAACTTGAATTTCTACTTTGGAGGTAGAACAGTCTTTACAGAAAAGCTAGTTCATGTAAAACTTCTGGTTAGTACATTTCTGGCAGTGTATAAAGGATGTAAATGTGAGTTACATTCCTAACATGTTTACTAGCTGGTGTAGGTTAGTTAAAGCAAATAATCTCCAACTTGCTGTGCTATTTTTACCACCTAAAAGCCCAGTATCTTCTCTTGCTCTTAGAATACAAAGCTGATCTGCACTCCATCACTTGTATGCATCATATTGATGGCAATATTCCTGGATGTTGGAAAACCACCACCAAAGAGCTGCAGTCTGCAACGATGTCTGCATAATACTTAAAAAACTCAAGTTCTAGTGTGCCTCTAAAACACATTTGAGGAAACACAGGTTTGCTTTGCAGTGCCAAGTGCAGACACGCTTCCAAGCAGAACTTGGAGATGATGCTCATTCCTGCCTAGGACTGAATAAAAGTATTGTCATTCAGTATCTTATTTATTGTATATCAGGCACACTATATCCAGAAGGAACATAAAAATGCTATATGTGAAGTCTTGATGCTTTAATAAACAGCAATTAACTATAATGTACTAGATGTAAGCAGGTATCAATCTGCTATTTCTAACACAGCAGAGTACTTGTCAGAAAGTTTGTCTGCCTTTGCTACAGTGGGCAGACAAAACCTGAAGCCATATACACATTATTTTTAAAGGGTTGCCAATGTTTGCTAGCCAAGTGATGAATCCCGTTTACTCCCAACACACCAGTGCTTGCATATCACAACTCTGCTTCCCACTGATGTTAGAAAAGGATCAGAACCAACCGACATTCTCATTTCTCTCTTCCACAGCACACACTGGTCAGCTTTTATGCAGAGCAACATTCCCATAATAATCCAACAAGACTGGTCCCTCATTGTGAGCAAAAAGAGTTAACATCCGTGACCCAAATATGGAGACCCATTTTCAACTTGCTGAAAATTGCTTTTTAATCCCAGCTCTCGAGGATTTCCTCTGAAGCCATCTGCCACGCACGCGGGTGCTCTCTGCCTGCGGACGGGCAGGATTACCACAATGTGGATTCTTTGTGTAACTTAATACATTTCAGCATATTACAAAAATTAGTCAGAATTTCCATTCTTTTCTGATTCCAACTGTGCATCACAAAAACGACTGTAAAAGTCAAAACCAGCAATAAGTTCATTCCAAAAGTGACACCCTTATTTACTGCAGTATTTACACTGCAGCTGGAATATATTTAGTCAAACACTGGACAGGGTTTAAGAAAACACTAATGAGTCATTTAACTAATATAAACTTAGGCACATGGTTAAAAGTAAGCTCAAGCATTTCCCTGGGTAGGAATGGATTTCAGCATGTGTCTTCCCAACTAGAGCGCAGTTTGAAGACTGGAAGACAATCATTATGATAACTGGAGACCAGAAAAGACTTCCAAACACTATTTCAAACCTACTGGTCACCCTTTTCTTCTTCCCAAGAATCTTTCTGCAGCTGGAATAAGGAAAATTTGCATAGTTGGAAGCACATGAGGTGACATTAAGGTTTTGGAGGATAGACGGGCCAGAGCCTGTGAACTTCTTTGTTTCACAGAGCACACGCAGCTGTACAGGGCTTCCTGCTGGCAGCCCTCAGAGTCCTCACCCATGTTACTCCATGTCATAGCCAGTCACCCCAATGTCTAACAGAAGCTGATAGCAACACAACATCCACATGGAAGCCTTCCCCTCCTGCTGAAGATAGGATCCCATACCCTTGGATGCCTTTTCCCTCGAAAGGAGGAGTGTTAGATATGATTAACATACAGGACAGATCTACACATGCAGATGTTAGAAGAATGTGGAAAGCGGAAAAAAAACCCAAGCAAATCATTCAAATCATTTTGTTTCAGCAATAACAGATGTTGGAGCATCATCCTGCAGACATGTTACTTTTAATACAAAATTGATCGTAAAGTGAGTGAGGGGGTGAGGCCAGAATCAATGCCCAATTACCCTCGTATTCCGATGTTTCCATTTTAATGAGCTTCTCCATGAATCTGTCCTTTTAATTTTCCTTCTCCAATAATCATATCAAAATACCTTTGTCTTAAATATCAGTGAAAAGAAATTCAGCTGCCTAAAAACCCCAATCCTAAGACAGCTGGGGGCAGGTTCTTAAAAACAACATGTCACAGTGTCCTTTACTTCTGTGTAAGCCCAAAACAGTTCACGAGAGCGTGGCACTACTTGGGATTATACCTGGCACGACTGAAAACAGCTTCATGTCCCAGTGTATCTGCTTATAGCAAATGGGTAGTAAAAGACTGTAACAGTGCTATGGTACTTGCAGATATATCAGTGCTGATAAAACAAGCAAATGTATAATAAATAGATTAAAACCACCTTTCTCTGGCTAAGGGAGGGATCAAGTGAAGCCTGATCTGCATTCCAGCTGGGGAGTAGCCCACTTTCCTGCTAGATTGCATCTGCCACTCACATTATCAATACTGCACCATAGTTTCCACTTTCTTAAACTTGGCCAGTGATGTTGAGGAGCTGGAGACACCCCAGGGACTGAGTAGTGCCAGTGCTGTGCCTGGAGTATAAAACAACTGCAAGCACCTGACTGATAACATCCAAGTCCTCTACTAAACAACAGGAACCTAAGTAATGTCAAGCTGCTTATCAGAATGGCTTGCATGTGGTAGATGTGAAGCCTACGATGCTGTATGGATCCTCTAGGACCTGCTGAGCAGCACAGCAAAAATAAGGCTTAGTGCATGTCAGAACAGGAGAGCCATCCTTCACCATGTACACTGGCACACAAAGCTGCGACAGCACCTTCCTAATTGTGACTGATCTCAGATACAGTTTCTCTTTAGACTGCACCCCCTTCTCTTTAATGCCAGGCTGCTAGTACATCACCCCAGAGTCTCATGTACAGAATATTTACATCCTGCTTTCCTTTACAGTGAATTACATTGACTATCATTAGGACCATGGGGCAAAAGAAGAGTTACCAGCAGCCTTTAGGACGCCTGGAATTCAGACTGATACATTAAGAGTGTGCCATCACAGTGGCAGCACACGCACTTACAACAGCTACAAATGGCTGCTGTGCTTTGAGCTCCCTGTATCTCTTGGATGCCATTCTCCATCACAAGTATTTTCCAAATAAATTTGCTCAGCGTGTATAACAAGGCCCCTCATTAGGACAATGCGGAATCCACAGGCAATTAATATCCCAAAAGGAGCTGAAGCTATCCTTCATGCCCATGTGTAAACCCACAGGCTTTCAATGGCTGCCATGCAAAAGCTGTCAAACCAAACAAAAATCCTCACCAAAAGAGGTAAAGAAACCCCCAAGAGCCACAACTGTTTACAACAGCCTTCTCACAACTCACTGGTCCACCACCACCACAGGAATTAGTGATGTGTAACTAACTGATACAAACCTCCTGAGGGGAGCATTGCTGCTGGTTATCTTGAGATGAGACATTTAGTACAGAAGGATAACTTGGATGGACAGCTGAAAAGCTTTAGTTCTCTGAGTAGGAAATGAATTGATCTGGCAAAGAAAGCCCTTGAAGGGATATTATTGTGTCAAAAAACAGGATTAGGAAAAAACATGGATGCTGTAATGGAGAGATGTGCTGCTGCAAAGACCATGATTTCAAAATTGTTGTTTAAGTGTTTCCACAACACATTGCTCTTTTTTTGATACTAAATGCACATGGTCTATTACAACACTCAGGAGAGTATTTATAAGCTATTATGCTCAACAAAATCAGTCATTAGATGAAAAGGCACTGAGCAGCTATACAGATAAAGGGGGAATGGGAATCTGAATCAGGGTGGACTTTG